TAGAAACAATGTGAATGAACACCACAACAGCTTAAGTAGCAAATTTTGCAAAACACAAAATTTATTTCACTGCCAAAACTTTTGGCCACGACTGTATCTATATGTAACACTATGAAGATTGAAACATCCATCTCAATACTACATTGGGATGCTTTGAATCTTAACAGCATTTTTCATGTATTAGCACTGTGGACGATGACAGCGAGAATGTGAGACTGTACCAGACTCACTCCACACTACATTCACACCCGTCAGACCTGTAATTCATAGCGCTCTGTCAGTGTTCCTGACAAACACCCCCCGTTGAGGCTTTGGTGCGCTCCTTTAACAAATGAGAAGCATGTGGAGGTCAGTCATCTGTCTCGCACACAGAGGGGCGTCAGTGTTTCTGTGTGTTCTGTGCTGCATTTGCACGGTCGAGTGGAAAGCTAAAGATAACTGAGTGAAAAATGGCCCGTGGATGACCTATGATGGAGGAATTTATCTGCGTTGTCTTGAAGTGTGTAATAGTTTCTACAGAAGCCAGAAGAGCCCATTAAACTGACACTCAACTGTGGGTCAACAGGTGGGATCCGCTGCACCGTCCACTGAATCACTTTCAACTGCATGTTTTTAACATATAAAGGCTTAACCAAAAAAAAAAAAATTTCATTTATCGCTATTTTATGCAGTTTTTTTTTTTAATCTCAAAAATTATTTTAGGTTTAGGATCTGTCATGCTGCTAATTACCACACAAAATAATTTAGACAAGACTAGACTAATTTTATAACTCTATCAGGTATCCTTTTCAACCAGAATCAGCAGATTTTCATTACAGGAAAGGAAAAGTTTAAGTGGTTTTATCATACACGCATGCAATAGTTAAGTGTTTTGGAGATGTCTTGAATATGATTTTATTTTAAATATCTATTTGTGTCATTGCCTTCTAGACTTCCATGATAAGTGTGTTACAGTTTGCAAAATGAGGGACAAGTTAACATTATTTTCTCTGGTAATCAATATCAGGACATTGATGCTTTATCCAGTTTAATGTACAGACTTAGTCATTTGTTTAAGCCAGTCATGTGACAAACAAAGACTGACAACTCACTAACTAATAACTGAGCATTATTAGAAATTATATTCAACGGTTTTACACAATTTAAAGCCTTTATTACCTGAGAAGACAGTCCATTGTTGATGGCAGAGTTGGTGTGACTGTTATGAGGTCCAAATGTATCTGAATATCCTGCGTAGCCATGGCGACTGGAGAGACAGTAGGAAGCCCCGCCCTCCGGCCCCGCCCCTCCAGCACTCTGATGGCCTGCGGGCAGCGGGAGCGGCTGAGGTCTGTGTACAGCACTCAAATCTAACAACAGATATAGCCATTACATCCGGAAACATTTTATACGTCAAAGTGGATTTAAATACAACATGTTTACCTTGAGAAAGGCCAAGTGGGTACGGGCTCTCTGACAGCTGATACGGGGAGAGACTGGACACCGCCGGATGTGAAAAACCACCGGGGATCAGGTGATTGAACGCCATGAGCTGATTGGCTCCCGCCTGCTTCCTCCAACGAGCTCGTCTGTTGCTGAACCACACCTGAGAAAAGACAAGCGTAGGAGTGTAATGAAATAGTTTTTGATACTGTCTGTTCTTTTTTCCAGGCGTATGGGGTGTATTTGTACCTGCACTCGTGCCTCTGTGATTTTGGCTCTCTGAGCGAGCTCTTCTCTGGTGTAGATATCAGGGTAATGTGTGCGTTCGAAAGCTCTCTCCAGCTCCTCCAGCTGTTCGGCCGTGAATGTCGTCCGACTGCGACGCTGTTTCCGTTTCAGCGGCAGATCGGGCTCTGATTCCACTTCTGAACCTTCATCAGATGGACTCGCTGAAACACAAAGCAATGTAAAGAACTTTTTATACATTATAGGTTTTATATATATATATATATATATATATATATATATATA